CTGCTCTATTTGAAAAGTGACCTGAGATAACTTCTGTTATGAATTGGCGCTATACAAATAAAACTGAATTGAATTAGTTTGAATGATATAGCCCAAAATGACATATTTTGTTCATGAGAATAAATACACGAGTATATTTTTCTAGGCCTTTTCTAGGTCTGTGCCTTTTTGTAAACTTCCATCACCATGCCTCGTTTGAGCCAACTGGCATTAACGCAAACACACAATCTGAGCTGGATGCCAAATTTCAGCCTCCTAGGGTGAAAAACTGTGGCCGTCAAAGGGTGGGGAAGTTTCTGTGGACCAAGAGGCAGCCTGAGGGGCTGTTGGTTGCAGCTAAAAACGTTAACCAGTCTACAACCCCCCCCAGGGGATTATTCCATGTGGATTATTCCATGTATATTTTTTTAGAGATTGGCACATTCAAGTGTGTGTATAAATAAATTGAAAGACAATGTTTACCAAACTTAGATGTTTATTTATTTCTTTAAGATGAAAATACATTATTGTTACAGAAACATAAATTGTGACACTGATAACTAACACCCATCACCAATCTGAATCATTGTGTTATGTTCCATTTGTGTGTGAAATGTAATTTCTTAAGAGCAGAGCAAACATTTCAGATTGAGACAAATATTAGCCTTTAGGCTAGCCTATTACTCTGTGAAGATCATAGTAACATGATCATGAATGTAAGAACTTGGTAATGGCACTAATTATGTTCTTATTTATGTGATCAAATGTCTTGATTTGCTATTTATTACTTATTTGTATATAGACAAACTTTGGCTGAAACTATGACATAACTTCTGTCTGTTGAGCAGCTCTGGCTACAGTAATCTGTATGCATCACATGACACAGTTCATAATGCTATACAAACACAGCATGAAGGAAACACTGGTGACATCTTTAAAGTTAAAAACTGACTCACACAATCCAGTCCACACTTTTCTTACTTACAGTTTTCAAAATAGAAAATACTCTAATACAAACAGGAACCAGAATCCCCAACTCGTCTGTATATGAAAACACTAAAACAAAATCCCCTCCAAACACTTCTGTAACATAAATGGCAGAAAGTAAGAACATACAACCAATTTCTTATAAAACCTTTACATGGACTACAGCAGTGTCCAGTCACTTTATAATATATATTCACACGTTCAGTAGAGAGATGTTCCTGGGTGTGTTTGGCCTAGTTTAGCCTAAAGACTTAATGCTAGCCAAGAAAAATGTTCCTTCCAACAACTCCAAACTGTGCTGTTTGTATGTTGCCAACTTGCTAACCAGTAGTACATCCAAGAATTACTTCAGTAGCTGCTTGTCTGACCACAATGTTCTGTTTTCTACTGCATTTATGAAATACAGATGATACAGTGTGTACTTCTGACAGCTCTGGAGTTGTTGAAGGCATCTCTGACTTTGCTAGCCATGCTCTTTCCTGCATCCAGTCAGTGAGCTAAGCTAACTAGGCTAAACAACTCAATGCTACTCTATGGAATGCAAAGAGATTAAACTAATATAGATAGAAAAGTACGGTAAGTGCATTTACCAAAAAGTAAATATTCCCATGTGTTCCTCTAAACATAATGCAAAAACAGGGTTACATAACAGTTGACACAGTACAGTTTAAATGGGTCCAAGAAGTGCACATGCACATGACAGGCTCAAAACTATGTGCGAGTCAAATTAAACTGTATTTACTCCCCATCACCAAACAAAGCTTACTAAAACTTGTAATGTCCTCTAGTCCAAAAGTCCTTTCAAAGATCTCACATGTAAATTCTATGGCTTGAAATATCAAGTTCTTACAAGGGAATAATCCTTGTTCAAATCTCTACTGATCAGTTCTTGATCATATATTTATCGGCCCAGTTCATTCAATTACAGACATTTTGGAATATATACACACAGCAATGAACTGTAGCACTGCTGCCCTAATCTTACATTCTATTATTATAATAGAACCTAAACCCTTACATTTTAGGACACTCTCCCTTCCCGCTGGAAAGTTTCGTATCAGGGGGACCAGGCTCTTAAACACTACTGGACAGTAAATCTAGTGTGAAAAACATAACAAATGCAGTGTTTCCTCTATGTTGATTTTGGAAAGGCGGCCCGCTGCTGTTAGATTTCTGTCGCAACGGTATCAGAAATGGGGCAGACGGGACGGGACGGGGGGCGGGGGGGTTGTTCGGATAGGCCTGCCCCCACTGCTAAAAAAAAACCTAGAGGAAACACTGCAATAGTTTCTAGTAATGCTATTTAAAATATATAGTCATAGGATTTTACATGTGGATCTCTACGAACACACACTAACTGAGGACAAGTAACTCCAATGTAGCAAACTATGGAAGTTTCACAGAAACCAACCAATGGGCACCTAACGTTTCTGTGCAGGTTACAATAAATACCTGCTTGCAAGTCAAGTATTTTCCCCTCACACAGAAACCGTCAGATGCTTTACATGACAGGCCTGAATTATGCTTGGAGAAAAAAACATAATTAGTGGGGTTCTTTTCTCTCTACGACAAATTCAAGCCTGAACTAACTTAGAACATTACTGTTGGGTCTCGAAAAAGCCCTGCCGGGCAGATGTGCCGGGTGTTTGACCGATTATAGGTTGCATACTCCGGCTCCCCTGAGAAAGAGAAGGAGAAAAAAATCAGTACAATTGTGAAGCACAGTAAGTGTTTGTGCAGAAAAAGTTACTACGCATCCGTCGCTGTTTCTGAACGCACCATTCAAAGTTGGCCCCTCCTCCCTGGCTAAAGCGAGCCAGAGAGACCTGTGGTCGAGCTACATAGGGCATAAATAAGGAGAGGAAGCGGCGATAGCAAGAACACATTTTTTTCTAATGTCCTAAAGCACAAATACCAAAACACACGGCCACACCTCCGCACAACCCTGCGGGAAGGTGCCACATTACTGACACGCAGTCATGCAGCTTGTTATGCATCAGTGACAGATGAGGAGCAGGGGGGAGACGGATGGAGACCTGCAGAGTATGCCTTTAATATTAGAGTAAAGGTTATTGGAACATCAAGTCCGAGTTTCTTTCTGCAACGGAAACTTGTCAGTCCCAATCTTTTGTAATTGTGTGCTATCATTAGTAAGCTAATCTCAACAAGCTTACATTTAACATGCTATAGAGACAAACATTATAATTAGGCTCAAGGTATATTGGAGGAATTCAGTCATTAAGTTTCAGAGGTATCATGGTGTGTTGGAAATGTTGACCTGTAGTCACTAGTTATCATCTTCTTGTGGTGGTCAAGACTTGTCCACTGAGGAGAGACATTTCAGTCCCTAAAGGCATGCTGCTAGCTTAGCGTTGACAGCAAGTACATCTAAAAACAGACCAGTAAAAAGTAAAGCTAATCAGTCTTTGAGTCTACTCATCTTCAATATGCTGCATGTGACAACCGATCACTGTGTGACACTTACATACCGGCATTCTTCACAGTCCTCTACAGTACAGATATCACTAGGGAACAGGGAGGACTTAGACCTGTAGGTTTGCAAATAGACACTCTGTACATTTTGTTTACCAGGCTCACAGTTCTCATTATTTGTTGTATGTGCTGCCCGCCACAAAGCTGAACTGCAAACAAGAGACAACTCTCCTTGGCGCCATGAGTACTGTTTGAATGTCTCCTGACTACACCTGTTCGTGGCGAGCTGCTCGGCTGGTGTGAGCGCAGAGGGAGTTATGATATAGAAAAAAGTGAGGACATAGCATAGCACATTCAATATCATGTCTTCTCTAATGCTGTAACATTATCTAATCCTGGATTCTGCATCCAGTCACCATCTACATCTCTTTTGCATTTGAAAATGAAAACAAAATCTTGCCGTGTCATACCATGATATGAAGGTAGCTGCCCATCTGCAGCAGGCACTCCAGGGTCTCCATCATCTGCTCTTGGCGGAGCGTGTGGAGTCTGGAGCGATCGGGGGATATGCTGCTCTCCAGCTCACATACTGTGGCTTTCAGAGCCACTGAAGCACACTGGAGGACACTCATTCCTGAGAACACACACAAATGGTTGGATGACTGCAGTTCTGAGGAGCTTTCATGCACTACAGCCATCTTTAACATCTAACCTAAAGCCAACTGTCAAATGGTAACTGACAAAGAGAAACACATCAGCTGATCACAGCTGAAACGTTTCTGGCAAACAACTGAAACAGGTAGTAACACAGAGCGTAGACAATTCTTTTTTGTGATACTGTTTTTATCCCAAGCATCACTAATTAACTGATACCATTGTTATGTGATAATTTAGCTGCTTACACTCATTTTGGCAACCATGCATTGTTGTCAATATGTGACAATAACGTGACTGTAAAGCTTTATAACACATATTTAGTCATTCTTTATGCAGATGAAAAGCGTCTTTTCTACTTACTATACCTCAAAGCAAACTCCATTCTAAAGGAGGCTGAACTTTTGCTAGTGCATGTAACACTATTGTGCTGTTATCATCATTGTTATTAATATTTAGGAAGTTATAGTACATACCAGAGTTATCAGTGGCTTCAACATCAACATACACACCATCCATCATTGCGTTTTTTAGAACCTAAAAGAAAACATGCATACTGGTTAAAGATATATGTTCATATGATCCAAAAGAGCAGCGTAAGACCAACAGCAGGTCCTACAAAAACATTTAGTTTGGTAATGGAGTGCAGACCAGCTCCTGCACGTCAAAAAATATAGTCATGTCAGAGATGTGCAGAGTGGCAATAAAGCAGTCCCAATCTGAGTACAGCACAAGGCAGCACAAATATGTTGCCATGTTTCTACATCCTCAAGGTACCACAGCTGTGTGGTCCTGGTGCTCCTGGACGAAGACAGATGGAACAGACTGTGGGACAGTGGCAGTGCTGAGGGATTTCAGTGATGTAGATTACAACTTCTCAGAAAGCCTGACACCGCTGCGCTTCATTCAACAGAATTGGTCTAACTGCCACTCATTTACATTCTCAGTAACGCATACGGCGTCGCACGATGGGAAAAGTAATTATTAGATTACTCCGTTACTGAAAAAATAGCGCCGCTAGTAACGTCGTTATACTTAAACGCCGTTACTCCCAACACTGGCTGTGTGCTATAAAAGTGAACACAGTTCCTATACAATCTGTACTCTGAAGCTCGATGCCAAGTTATCTAAGTGGCTTTTTATTCCCACCTATTAGAACCTGAAATAACTCTTTCTGCACAATACTACAACTCAATACCCCTGAGCATCTAATGGTACGATATGTGCCATACTGATCCCCTTTGTTCTCTGCACGCATGGCATGAGTCATCCATCAAACAGACAAAATCATCAATAACTTCCCTTAAGACATGACACTGAGAAAATACTTTACATTCAGAGTGCACTGAATAACAAGAGGATGACGCAGAGTGACACGCAGTACCCTTACAGAACCGGCTACGTTGGTTTTTGTCAGAGCTTTCTCTTTGATCTCTTATTCGACTTCAACACAGATGAAACCTTGCCAGCATGAAAACCAGTACCTGCAGCAGTACACGGACCTGAATAACCTGTTAGCTCGGATCAGAGGGAACCACAGTTTTAGCACCCAATAACTTGTGACAAACGGGGTGATGTTGCTCGTTATGTGATGTGGGAACTGTGAGCAGAAAGGCGTTTCTGCAATGAGGACAAGTTGTCCCACACACTCAGTCTCTTAGTCATCTTCACAACCTTTACAATCTTAGAACCCAGTGAGGAGCAATTATTCACTCAGGTTTTGCCCAAATTCAATCAGTGGTGTCTGAAAAGATAGTGAAGTGATAAACAACAGCAGAGAAGAAAAACAAGGCTCTAACCTCCAGGACTCTGATGTAGCCTTTCTCAGCACTGAGGTGGAGGCAGGACTTTCCTGAGTTGTTTGTCTCATTGATGTTGGCCCCCAAACCCATCAGATCTGCTACCATCAGGTGGTGGTTGTGCTTCGCTGCGTGGAGGAGGGCAGTCTGCGAACAGAGGGCCATGGATGTAAGCTATGGATTGTCCAATGACATTTATTTTCTTGCATCTGTGGTTAAGACACCAGTAGCTGTATCCATCAGACATTTAAACACTGAATACTTATTGATATGAATAATTTCACCAATGCTGAAAAACAGTGTAAATGTAGCTGCTTCCTAAATATCAAGAAATCATTTAAGGACTTTTTCTTAACAATACAGGACGGCACTTGCTCACACGGTCATATAATTTACTGGTAGAAGCGAACAGCAGCGAGATCTACGTCAATTTGGCGTCACAGTGTCGCGCGACAGGTCGCAAACGGCAAGCATACTGGGGCCTTAACACTGATGTGGCCACAGCCCACAGGTAACACTTCAAATCAAGTAGAATTAAGACTTCTTAGTCTTTAAAGAAGATTCAGAAAGTGATCTTTGTACAATTAACATTTCTGTGCATGTATTAAACAACCACAACAATAAATGTAAATATGATCGTTAATAGTCTGTATGAATGCAGATAGGAACGTCTGCAGCATTTCCACAGAGCTTCTCTGAGTCTGTTCCACTCTGCATCTGGTGTGAAAGGCTAGATTGACTGGCATGTGATTTGAAATAAAAAGAGAGTTTTTCTGTTTGGTTTCACATCTGTTAAACCCACATTTAAGTGTACAGTTAAATCAAACTAAATACAAACCCAGCTATAAGTAGCCGGTCTGAGTTAGGGGCTTAAATAGCAACAGTTTTCCAGGATGTGTGGGAACCCTTTATAAGTTCACCTTCCAGAACAGTTGTTGAATCTTTCTTTCTTTTCTAATCTTTCTTATTGTAATTACAGCAATATCTGTGAGACTTACCACCGAACTGTATATTTTAACTGAGGATACATTATGATTCAACCAAAGTGTATAATCTATCTTTAGCAGAGATTCATGTAATTTGGTGCTGCAGAGAGAGTTGTGTTTATGTAATCTACATTGTTATGACTTTATGTTAATTATTTTGTTTGCATTCTAATTTGTCTCAAATATACAAATGTAAATCTCAGAGGTTTTTGTACTGTACCATTCCATCAGAGTCTTTGAGGTCCAGGCTGTTGAGTGCGGCCATCCTTTTGGCGATGGCGTAGCCCAGTGCCCTCATCCCGATGCCCGCCACTTTATGTAGAGCTCTGGAGGGACAAACACAACCCCACATATTGACAAAAAATGACTCCACACTAAAAGTATTTAGAGAGAGGCAACATACGATCTTGTAAGAGGAGAACAGGTCTGAACATGGGTTAAATACTGGGTAGTTAGTAAAGGCATTTCATACAGTAAGCTGAAAAAATGGAACTTAATTAATAGAAGCCTGCGGGCTCAACAAACTGAACCACAACAGGCCGTTTTCACAGGCGTGTCGCAGTATGAAAAACACAGGTGTTACCAATAATACCGCTAATGACAATGAGCCAGCATGCACCATACCAGGATCCTGAAACTGAAGCAGCTGAATGAAGGCTATCAGACTTTGTGCAGCTTCCTCTGAAGCCACATAAAGTTTTATACAACTTTCTTCATATATGCGATAGTACTACCCAAGACCTGTAGTTCTCCTTCAGTAGACACACACACACACACACAATGACATTCAAACCTACGTCCTGCCGTGTTCATCGGCGGCCAACAGTACAGCGTCAGAGATGTCCCTCAGCTGGCTCTCCTCTTTCTGCAGCTGTGTCCAGAAGAAAGCAGAGCTGTTCAGGCTCCAGTCAGAATCAAACCACTCCTCCCCTGTGCCACCATCTCTTCCAACGTCTTCAACGCTGTAAAACTGAAGGCTGTTGTGCATGAATCCGGGAGGGGACAGGGCCTGGTGGTACTCTGCTGTGCCTGGTGAGTAGGTCATGTAGGACTGGGGGCTGGGGATCATTTCATCAGACTCGTCGCTGTTGTAACCTGCACCTTAGTGAGAACACATGGCATGTGAGGGGGTGGTAGAGGCTGCTGTTAACATATTTTTCAAGGTTTAAAGGGAGTTGCAATCTGCAACTACACTGCTAGACGCTACTAAATCCTACACACTGGACCTTATAAATGTGGATCTGGTCCACGTGAATTACCAGTTGAAGACCACTCAGGAGACACTGGAGGCTCGAAGGACAAAGATTGGGGAGGGAAGCGGCAGTTGTTGCTGGTCCTCAGATCCTCCTCCAGCACCTCAACAATGATTGACAGCTCCTCCAGGCTTTTGGTGGGGTGTTTTCTCTGAAAGTCAAACACAGGTATGCCGGTCTATTTGAACAGGTCCTAAAAGGTGACATGTGATTTACAGCGTCTTTCATAAACAGGAACTTCTGGGAGGACCCGTGTCTCTGTCTTTCAACACTCACCATGGCAGTTCGGCGTCCTTTGCGGGTTTTGACTCGTTGCTGTTCTCCTGTGGAAGCAGACGTTAAGTCTGAGAGTACTATACAGTATGTGCGTTACTATACTGTATGCCCTGCAGGCTGGTGTCATGAGATACACAACCTCTGTATCAAATTAGAATATAGTGTAGCTCAATGACTATTAAAGCAGGAACAAAATCTACATGATACCACACGTAAACAACTTGTGGATCTGAGTTTTACTGACCTTTGACTGTTTTGCTGTAGATCTCCTGTGAAAAGAAAACAACAGTGGGATCAGTGAGAGTTGTCTCCTATATGCTTTAGATTTTTCAGCCAAAGGCATAACAATATAGCTCAGCTTATGTAGGCAGGTAAAACGAAGTGTGGTTACACCAAATGAATGTACGAAAAAGGAAAGGAAAGGAGAACTAAGATATAATTCTTCTTCAAGCAAATCTGCAACCGACTATAGGAAAGAACTCCAAAATGTTAGGTTTTATTCGAAGAGGAATAAAGAGGTTGACTATTGATATTTTTCTGTTCGACAAAAAAAACAGCCAGGAAATCAACTGTAAAAATGCAACACATAAAGTAAACTTATCCATCAGGGTTTGAGTAAAAAGAAAAATATCTATCTAGTCTATATTGTTGACATTAACTATCATTTTTTCACTGTCCACTTGGATAAAAAATAAATAAAAACAAACAAAAAACATACCTTAGGATCTTTAGGTGCCATGCCTTGGGCGAGGCGGATGTTTTTCAGAAGATCCCTTACAGGCATTTTGACACGCACTCCGAGGTAGACCTTCTCACCATCGTATATTGAACACCTTGCACCTGCTGAACAAACAATGGAGGATGAACCTTCACGGAAGGAGGGTCCGACCACACAACAGTTCACACACACAAC